TCATCTTTACAATGTTACGTAACGTGTTTGTGTTTTTCAATTAGTTTTTGTTTTGTTTTGTTTTGTTTTGTTTAAAAAACAAACAATATTATGTAAAATTAAAACACATATCGCGTTATTATCACAACCTTCTCTCTCTCTCCAGAACAATTTACCAGAAACACGTTCCAGAACATTCTACCAGAAACACGTTCCAGAACATTTTTTTTTTATGTTTAATAATAATAATAACACACGACGCGACACACAAAAAATTAATTACATAAGATTTACGAAAATAAATAAATAAAAAAAAATCCGATGAACTTTTATGTGTCAATGTTAACAAAAAAACGTATCGATAATAATAATAATAAATTACGTCATTTATTTATTTATTTTAAGGTTGAAAAAGCGAAACAGAAAAAAAATTTAGTGGATGAAAAAATAAGGGTAAAAGAGGAGAAGGGGAGTGGAGAAAAGAAAAGAAAACCTTGAAACAAAAACACAAAAAGCCCGAAAATCGATACATTACAAAAATGACGTCATCGTGTCGTGGCATTAGATTCGTTGAGAAAGGTTTCATTTAGTCAAAAGGATCGAAAGGTTTCGGTTGGATTCGAAACCAAAAAGGTAACAATTTAAAATTATTTCATTTAGTATTATTTATTATTATTATTATTATCAATAAGTTTTTTTTCAAGGCGTTGCGTATAATATAAAGGAATGTATATCGTGTAAAAATGCTCTTATAATAATTACATACAAAAAAATTTTTTTTTTTTTTACTTGCGTGTGTGTGTGCGTGCGTGAGTGTTTTCGTGCGCGTTTTAATTATCTAGTAGAGAGACTTGTTATGGCAGACAAACACTTTTCCACAGCATCTCAGGACCGTTATTATAACAATCTTTGCCATTTTTCTACTTCCTTAACAAGCCACTCTTATCAAAAACTCGATTATTATTAAAAACTTTCACGGTCAGATTTCTAAATATCTGAGTTACATCAGTTTTGCGCTTTCGTCGCTAATTATTTATTTAATTTTTTTCGGTTTTCATTTATTAATCTCCGATTTTGCGGTATTATTATCATTATTATTATTTTACCTTCGAGGTAAGTGATAGTTCAATGAAAAAAAATAGGGAGGGGGATTGAGCATGGCAACGCACAATATAATTTTTTAGGTGGGAAAAAATTTTTTTTTCTAACGAACCGATTCGGTTTTTTCTTTCTTCTTACACGATGAGTTTTTTTTTTTTTTGTTAAGGAAAGAAACGGAAAAAAAAGAAAAAGAGGGAAAAAAAAACTCATTCGTTAGCCATTTGTAATTATGAAGTCGCCAGAGAAATAATAGATTTTTAAAAAAATTATTATTTTTTTTGAACTAATTATACGTATCGTTATCATTATTATTATTATTATTATTATTGTTATTATTATTATGTTTTTTAACGTTTTTTCTTACGCTTGGTTTGGATTTTTACTTGCTATTGCAACTGGTTCTGCATTTTTATTTTTATTACCATCCACTTCTCTACTACCGTCAGCAGGTAATAACTTTTTTTTTTTTTTTGGTTTGTTGTTGTTGTTGTTTTTACGGATCTAACGGAATTTTTTTTTTTTTTCATTCACTTTCGTTAGTCGGTGAATTATTTTGTATTTTTTTGTGCAGTTTCCTAACCGAAAATATTTTTAAAATGAATTATTTAATATTAAAAAATTATTAATTAACAAACAATGAAAAATTTTTTTTTATTACGTAAGTAAATAATAATAATAATAATTTATTAATTAATTAATAATGGTTATTATTATTAATGTTATGAATTTCTTTTTTTTTTTTTAATTTCTCAAAATAAAATTTTTTTCTTTAGTTTCTTTTTATAAAAAAAAAAAAAAAAAAAAAAAAAAACGACAACCGACAGCATTGAAATTATTATTATTATTACTATTATTATCATTATTATCATTATTATTAGTAATTACGTAATTACATATCATTGAAATTATTATTAGAATCATTTTAACATTGAAAAATAATTTTCAGAGCTTTATATTTAAAATTTATTTTTATTTTTTTTATTTTTTCAAAGTGAATTTCATCGTTTCGGTTACTATTATTATTATTATTATTATTTGGTACGACGACGTTTTATTAAAATTGTGCGGTTAAACCCAATAATAATAATAATAATAAGTTCGAAGGGATTATTAAAAAAAACGTTTTGGAATTTTTTAGTTGAAGTGAAATTTAAATTTTAGTTTTTTTTTAATAATTTATTTTCTATTGTTTTATAAATAATAATAATAATAATAATAATAATAATAACGAGGTTGGTTAGTAAATAATTATCAATTATTAATAGTTTTTACTTTCATTTTTTTTTTGCATTTTTATTTATCATGTACGAAACGTAAAAAAAAAAAATTCACGTGACTCAAATAAATAATAGAAAAGATTAAATAAATAAATAAATTACAGTCGTAGTTAAATAAATATTTAATTATCTATTTAAATAAATTATTCACGGTGGTAAATTATTGTTTTTGATAAAATTTAAATGATTTTTACAACAACAACAACAATAATGATAATGATAATGATGATAATAACAAATAAATTATTGCATTTTAAAGATAAATTTTGTTTCGCACAGCAAAAAAAAAATTTTAACATTAAACAAATTTTAACACATTTAAACAAAATATTTATTTATTAAATTTTACCTAATGGATTTTGTTTAAATAATTTACACCGAAAAAAAATGTTTAAATAATTATTTAAAAAAATTTTTTTTTAATAATGTCTACGACGTATTTAAAATTACATTTTTTCAAAAAATAAAATCAAATTAAAATTTATTTTTTTTTTCCTTGCTTCAAACATTAGCGTTATTAATAACTTTACGGTAATCTATAAATAAAAATAATTATTACGTCTTTTATTTATTTATTTATTTAAAATATAAAAAAAAAGAATTATGTGATTTTAAATACGTATAAAAATAATAATAATAATAGTAGAAAATATGATAAAAATTTTATTGTTAAACATTTTTTTTTTTTATGTTAAGATTTATGTGTTTGGTTAAAAACATTTATTTATTAATTTGCCATAAGAAAATAACAAAATCGAGTTTCGATTTCTATTTTCCATTTTTTTTATAAAAAAAAAAAAAAAATTCTTCAAAATGCCTCAAGGAAAAATTTATTGGCTCAAATCAAAATTCTACAAAAAAAAAAAAAAAAAGCAAAAACAACCTTATTAAATCAAGTTTTACTTTTACTTTCGTTTGCCAAATAAGAATATCAAATAAATAAAATTCAACGTTTTCGATCTATCGAACGATCGATAAATCGATTTTATTTATTTATTTAAAACAAAAAAAAAAACATGTGCAGAATATTTTGCTTATTTTTCCTTCCTCTTCTTTGTTAACTTTCGATTAAAGGGAAAATATTATTTTTTTAAAAGACAACTGCCACCGGATATCAAGTGAAATTTATTATTCAAAACATTTTTTTTTTTTTTTTTTTTTAATCAGAGCAAAATAATTTTGTCAACTTTCTCTTTTTGTTTTAGATATGAGAGGTTTTCCTTTACTTTGGGGATTAACGTTATTTAATGTTATAAAAGGAGATGATTTAGAAAATTTAAAAGAAAAATACGTATGGAAACAAGTAGATTTTGCTTTTCCAACTCCGGAAGATAGAGAACAAGCCATAAATACAAAAAGATTCATACCGAGCAATACACTTCCGTTAGGATTAGACGTAAGTAAAAACTCGTACGTTCTTTATTTACAAATGAAAATCGTCACGTTGCCACGCCAACCCGCCACCGGATGTTGTTTTCTATCTCTATGACGAAAATTTAACGCGTTCGTGTTAACTCATCTCTCGCTCCTTTCGCGAGTTTTATTCAGGTAAGTGGAATTTTTTTCTATATTAATTAATTTATTAATTAATTATTTTAATAAAATAAATTATTAATTAGTTTTGATTTAAAAAAATTAAAAAAAATATACTGAATCACTCTATATTTATTTCAATTTAAAAAAAAAAAAAATTTCAATTTTACAACAAATTTTTATCAAAGATGTTAAATTTCATGTTAAAAAATGTAACAAACATAACCGAAAATAAGGAAAAAAAAAAAAAAAAATTCTTTTTTATTTTAATAAAAATATGCTAAAAATACATTTATACACCCGGTGATGGTTTTTCTTACGGTGCGTTGGGATTTTTGTTGGAAAATATATTGCATCTCATGTTATTCATTGTTATAAACGAATCGTAATACGAATAAGGAGTATGGAAAAAATATTGTAAATTTTTATAAGATGATTTATTATTTAACTCACTATAAACGTTTTTTTTGTTTTCTAACGATTCCGGCGATGATGATGGTGACGAGGACGATAACGTTGACGGAGTTTCATCTCCGCATTGTTTATTATTATTATCATCAATTATTTTCACGACTGGACTAGAAGAAAATTTTTTTGTTGCAAATATGTCCGAAACGGAAAATCTTCTTGTTAATTTGACTTCGTTTTCACCTCCTAAACGCATTTTAATATCCTTTAAAGTTATCGTCGTACCCATTCCGTGATTGATTGAATTTTTCATTTCCGGTTTTTGCTTTTTCCCAATTAATTTTATTTCCTTCGGCGGATGATTGTCTTTCATATTGTTGTTCATATGTAAAACATCATCAACAGTTAGACTTCTTGGAATTTTTTCGATTCTTGGTGAGAATATTGCGTCATCATCGATGTTGTTGTTGTTGTTTGTTTCCATTTCATTTTGTTGTGTTGTTGTTTTCTCCTTTTTCTTATTAAATAAAATTGTTTGAAATATAGAATTATTCACTAAGCCAAATGACGAATGATTAAAAAATAGTCCTCCAGACGAACACCTTTTAAGATCGATTGATCCGGTATCGCATTTTTTAGGAGGGGTAGATTGACAGGGTGGACATTTTGGTTGAGGAGGACACGGAGGAGGACATTTGGATTTAGGAGGAGGACAATCAGGAGGAGGAGGTCGCGTAGGGCATGGTGGAGGTCGCGGAGGACACGGAGGAGGACATTTCGGTTTAGGAGGAGGACATGGAGCAGGGGGGCACGGAGGAGGAGGGCATTTGGGTTTATTCGAAGGACACGGAGGCGGAGGAGGAGGGCATTTCGGTTTGGGTGGAGGGCATTTGGGTTTAGGTGGAGGACATGGGGGTGGAGGGCATTTGGGTTTAGGAGGACAGGGAGGTGGTTGAGGAGGGCACGGAGGAGGGCATTTGGGTTTAGGAGGACAGGGAGGGGGTTGAGGAGGGCACGGAGGAGGGCATTTGGGTCTAGGAGGACAGGGAGGTGGTTGGGGAGGGCACGGAGGAGGGCATTTGGGTTTAGGAGGACAGGGAGGTGGTTGAGGAGGGCACGGAGGAGGGCATTTGGGTTTAGGAGGACAGGGAGGTGGTTGGGGAGGGCACGGAGGAGGGCATTTGGGTTTAGGAGGACAGGGAGGTGGTTGGGGAGGGCACGGAGGAGGGCATTTGGGTTTAGGAGGACAGGGAGGTGGTTGGGGAGGGCACGGAGGAGGGCATTTGGGTTTAGGAGGACAGGGAGGTGGTTGGGGAGGGCACGGAGGAGGGCATTTGGGTTTAGGAGGACAGGGAGGTGGTTGGGGAGGGCACGGAGGAGGGCATTTGGGTTTAGGAGGACAGGGAGGTGGTTGGGGAGGGCACGGAGGAGGACACTTCGGCTTAGGGGGGCACGAAGGAGGACGCGGCGGGCAAGGAGGCGGAGGACATTTTGGCTTGCTTGTAGGACACGAAGGAGGACGCGTAGGACACGGAGGAGGAGGAGGAGGAGGACATTTTGGCTTAGATGGACAAGGAGGATCTTGATTAGGACAAGAAGTAGGAAGGGGAGGGCATTTCTGTTTAGGCGGAGGACAAGGGAGGTGGTATTTGTCTTTGGGAGGAGGGCATTTTTCTTTGGGAGGAGGACACTTTTCTTTAGGGGGAGGACATTTTTCTTTGGGAGGAGGACATTTTTCTTTGGGAGGAGGACACTTTTCTTTAGGGGGGGGACATTTTTCCTTAGGCGGAGGGCATTTGTCTTTTTTGTCTTTATGAGAGGGACATTTGCCTCCAGACGAAGAGCAGGGTGAAGGTGGACAGTTCGGGCATGGGGGATTCCTACAGGGTGGAGGTTCGGGCGGGTCACAAGGACAGGGTGGAGGAGGACAGCAGGGAGGTAAATAAGGACAACACGGAGGATTGGGACAGCACGGATAAACTGGACAGGAAGGAGGTTGGGGAATGCATGGTTCATCAGGACAGCAAGTATCAGGTTTGCAGGGATTTTCACGGCGACATGGAATTTCAACGTCACCTGAAGGCGAGCGTGGAGGACAGGGTTTTCCTGCTAGCGATAGTGATGGAGAATGAGTTGGTGCGTCTAAGAAACCAGGGTTCGAATGGCCTTTTGTTATTTTCGAAGGCGGTGGAGGTTGTGGGGGCGGACACAGTGGTTTAAGAGCATTTTTACACGCGGGTGGATAATCTGATCTTACCGGCGTATAATCCATTAAAATTTTTTTAACTTTTTTAGGAATTTTATTATTTGATGTATCGTACCATTCCCACGATCTAAATGGGGTACACGTATCCGGAAGAACTTTTGATACTTGTTTTGAACAACTTTTTACACTTACCGCACCAGGATTAGGAGGTGGAGAACATTCATTATTTTCAACAGCTGAATCTTTAAACCCTTTTTCTTTTCCTCCAAAAAAAGTTTTTATAAACGATGAATTTCGCTTGTCCTGAGCAAACGGATTGCGATAATGGGTTGCGGCTGATGAAAATATTCGTCTACTCATTTTTTATATTTTCGATTTTATAGCATACTTTTTTTTTAAATGACAATATTAGACACAATAAATTTTGATTTTTTAAAAAAATAATCTATGTGATTAAAAAAAAAAAAAAAAATAAATAAATATTTTTTTTAGGTCTCAAACGACATTTTTTAAAATGAATTTATTTTTTGTTTTGTTTTGTTTTTATTTTTTGTTTTTTGTTTTTTTTTTTTCTCGTAATATTATTTACATTTTTTTTCAAATAGGTTTGGAATGGAAGAGTTTTTGTTACTTTACCCAAGTGGAAACCGGGAATTCCAGCAACATTAGCCGTAATCCCGGAAAATTCTGATTTTTCACCGATTCTTTATCCTTATCCTAATTGGAAATGGCACGTTGATGAAAATTGCAATGGATTAACATCCGTTTTTAGAATTTCGGTAAATTCTTCTTCTTTCCCCCTCTTTTTTTCAAAAAATTCTTTTTTCTTTTTAATATTTTCTTCTTCAATCTTATAGATAGATCCTTGCGGACGAATGTGGGTTTTAGATGCTGGAAAAATTGACGTATTAAATACATCAACACAATTATGTCCACCACAATTGGTTGTTTTCGATTTGAAAAACGACAGACTTTTATGGAGATACAGATTGCCAAAAAATCAGGTAAACCCATCAAATTTGCCCTCTCTCTTCTTTCTTATTTCCTTCGGGATAAAAAAAATTTTTTTGTTTTCCCTTCCCCCCTTCGACAGGTTCTTCAGGGTTCTTTGTTTTCGAACATTGTCACCGACGTGAGAAACAACAGATGCGATGATATTTACGTATATATGAGTGACGTATTACGCTACGGTTTGGTCGTTTACAATTTGAAAGAAGACAAATCCTGGAGAATATCCCATAATTTTTTTTATCCAGATCCAATAGCTTGTCGTTATACTTTAGATAATACGACATTCAGGTTTGCAAATTGGAAAATTTTAATTAAAATTTATTTTCTTTTTTAAATTTAATTCGATGTGACATATTTTTCACACAGGTGGACAGATGGAATTTTCGGTTTGGCCTTGTCACCAATCGATCCACTCACAAACGATAGATTATTATATTTTCATCCAATGAGTAGTTTCAGAGAATTTTCCGTACCTACTTCAATATTAAGAAATAATACGGCCGATACATTTCCAGATGAATTTAAAGTTTGTTTTTTATCATTTAAAAAAAAGTTTAAACTTTTTTTTTTTTTTTAAATAAAAAAATTTCATTTTAGCTTTTGGGTGAATCTCGAGGAACGCAAAATCGTCATTCTTCAGCATCTGGAATGGATCGTCGAGGAGTATTATTTTATAATTTAGTCACGCAAAATGCTGTCGGTTGTTGGAATTCTCAGAGACCTTATAAAAAATTTTATCAAGGTTTAGCCGGACAAAGTAGCGAAATATTAAATTTTCCAAACGATTTAAAAGTTGATCATGAAAAAAGGCAAAATCTTTGGGTTCTTTCGAATAAATTGCACAAGTAAGAAATTTGATCCTCTACGATCTCAAAACGAAAATTTTGAAAAAAAAAAAAAATTATAAATGATTTTCAGGTACATTTACACGTCTTTGAATCCAGAGGAAGTTAATTTTAGAGTTCTTTATGGACAAATTGAAAACATTGTCAGGGATACAATTTGCGATCCTTCATTGCCACCCCAATTGGATGAATCGAGCAATACCGTAATCGAGTGCATGGAATCCGAATCAAATTAATTTCTTCCCCCCCTCCCGTAAATCGTAATTTATTTTCTTATAAAGGTCCGACTGTAATTACCGCTTTTCCAAACTGTTGTTTATGACCACATATTAACTAATCTTTAACACAACTTCCTAATAAAAAAAAAATTTTCTTCTTTTCCTTTCACTGATGTATAATAATGTAAAACACTTTATAGATATTTAAATGAAATTTAAAAAAAAAAAAAAATTGTATAAATTTTATTTTTGTTAAATAGCCTGTTAATAAAATTAAAATTAATGTTTATTATTTATTTATTTTTTTTTTAAAAAATCTCTTTAATTACCACACATTAAATAATTTTTTTTAAAATACTTAAATTTTTTTTTGTTGTTGTGGGGAAGAAGGATAATGATGATGATGAGATGGAGGAGTAGGAGGAGGAGTGGGAGTAAAGGGATTACATGCAAGTTGAAATTATGACATTCAAATAATAAACAAATAATATTTGAATTATTTTAATGGCCGTTAAGGCTACAATTTATAAATTAGGCATATTACGTAAAAGAAAATAAATATTTATGTTTTGAATGTGCGCTTTGATGGCCAATATAAGGATTTACACGAAGTTTATCTCACTCACGTGGATATGTAATAATTAGTATAAAAAGAGAATGAAAAACTTTATTGATATCAGATCAGTGAAATTCAATCTGATAAGAGTATAAAACTATAAAGAATTTCACAAAATGTTGACAAAATTATTTCTAGTCTTCGCCACATTGACTTTTCACGCCGATGTAAGTGTTAATTCATATAATTATGGAAATTAAAAAAATTTTTTTTTTTTTTAAATCGATTGATTTTTTTACTAATTAATTTTTTTTACAGGGATGCGCTTTACCAAAATGCACGCCTCTTGGATTATTTCTACCGTTAGCGCCACCCCCATGTGCGCCACCGCCACCGCCTCCGTGCTTACCTCTACCCCCATGTGCACCACCGCCACCACCGTGCTTACCACTTCCACCATGTGCACCAGCATTACCACCGTGCTTACCACTACCCCCATGTCCACCACCGCCTCCACCATGCCTACCGCTTCCACCATGCCCACCACCGCCACCACCATGCCCACCACCGCCACCACCTTGCCCACCGCCAACATTGCTAGCCGTCCTACCGCTTCCACCTTGTCCACCACCACCACCACCATGCCTACCGCTTCCACCTTGTCCACCACCGCCACCACCATGCCTACCGCTTCCACCTTGTTCACCACCAGCATTACCACCATGCTTACCACTTCCACCTTGTTCACCACCAGCATTACCACCATGCTTACCACTTCCACCTTGTGCACCAGCACTTCCTCCCTGTCCGCCGCTTCCACCTTGCATGCCACCACCGCTTCCACCTTGCCCCCCGCTTCCACCTTGCATGCCACCACCGCTTCCACCTTGCCCCCCGCTTCCACCTTGCATGCCACCACCACTTCCACCTTGCCCACCGCTTCCACCATGCATGCCACCACCACTTCCACCTTGTCTACCACTTCCACCATGCATGCCACCACCACTTCCACCTTGCCTACCACTTCCACCATGCATGCCACCACCACCTCCACCATGTCTACCCCTTCCACCATGCTTACCGCCATGTTTACAAATGCCTCCATGTTTACCTTGCAAATGAAAGAATTATGGTAAGTTTTTAAAAGAATAAAAATTCTTTTTCTAAAAGGATTAATTATTATTTCTATTTAATCATTTTTTTATATTTTTTTTCAGGATGAAAAATTTTATATTAAATTGTAGGATTAATTTTTTAAATGGACATTTTTTTTTTTTTTATTACTAAGAAAAACGAATACATCACATTTGTAGTAGTTTACTAAGAATTTGTTATATTACTTTGTTGTTTTAATTTTAGTACAAAAAAAAAATATAAACTTTTTATTATTATTATCATTTTAAATTTTGATTTTTTATTATTTATTTATTTTCTTATTTAAAAAAAAATCAACCCTTATTTATTAAATTTAAATATACAATTAAAAATTACTTTTTAAATTTTTTCCCGCCATTTTTTTTATTCACTTCAAAACATACAACATAAACAATTTTTTATAAAAATATTTAATATTTTATAAATTTAAACAAATAAATATTTTTGTTTTTTTTCAAGTCTCAAATAAATATGACGTAATAATAATTTAAATAAATTTTTTAGACGTAAAACCTTGAAATTTATTGGTACCCGGTGAGTACCATTGAAGAGGACAATGAAAAAGTGATAATGAACTTTAACTACGACATTAGCCCAATCAAAAATAATAATATAATAAAATAATAGTTTTGTTTATATTTAAAACGATTTCTTACGTTTATTTACTCTATGCTTTTTAAATTTAAAAAAACCCGCGAAAAAAAAATCAGGTTGGCAAATCGTGTCTGTTGATTGGTTTTGAAGAATTTTTTTTTTTTCGTCTGCTACCATTTTCAAAATGGCTGAATTTGAATGTGTTGTTTGTTATATTATTTAAATTTTGAGTAAAAAAAAATTTTTTTTTTTTTTTCTATTAATTAAAATTAACCGTTAAAAATAATCAAACAACGATTTTAATAATAATAATAATGTGAATAAATGAAAAGAAATGTTTTTTTTGTTTTTGTTCTTGTTTTTGTAAGAAATGAAAGAATTTTTTAAAAATTACAGTTTGCCTAAATATACAGAAATTGTGTGTATGTTAACATTAGGAATTGTGAGTAGAAATTAAAAAATTTTTTTTTTTTCAAAATAATCCTTTCGACAGTATAATAATTAATTTGTTATATAATTTCTCATAAAATAAATAAATCAATTAAAAAATTTTAATTGTTTATCTATGATTAAATAAATAAATAAATAAAACATTATTCAGGTTTTACAAATGACAGATGGATCCCCATTCACGTTAAAAAAAGGTTTGACGATTGTTTGGGAAACTGATTTACCTTCAGAATATTTCAGTCCAGTTGTACAAAGCAGCATTAAAATGAGTATGAAAAAAAATTTTTTTTTTTTTTTAAATAATATATTTAATAATATAATTAAATATAATATTAAAAAAAAAAAAAATCAAATTTTATATTTTAGTATTGTCCAGCATTGTTATCATAAGGAGTTTAACGACGTATTTATACGTTGTATCAGCTATGTTGACCATTTACTGTATATTAAAAGTATGTTTTTCTTTTGTTCTTTTCCACCTAAATCAGTGGAAGACCTAAAACCCTAAGTAAAATATTTTGTTTTTGAAGGATGCAGCTCCAGGTATAATGTTGATATGGCTTCTTATTTCTGCAGTTAAATCAATAGGTATGACTTTTTTCGAAGCCTTAACCGGAGTTTATGTTTGCAGTGCATTTGGTTCAATTCGAAACGATTGTATTGAATTTTTTTTATCTAAATCTGTTGAAATAAGTACGAAATTTTACCGTTATTATTATTATTATTATTTAGTATACGAATAATACACAATTAATTATAATGTGTAATCATTTATAAATGCGTAGTTAAAAATTTTTTTTTAAATTTCGTCAAAATAGTTTTTGCTACTTACCTCTGGGTTAGCGTTTTGTATGTTTATCAAGATATGAGAAGAATAAGAGAAAATCAAAAGAAACCCGAAAGTTGGGATGAATTTTTTAACCAAATAGGTTTTAGACGTCCGAGAACTAGAAGTCTAATGGACGAATCGATATTAAAAAAAACAGCTTGCCTTAATAATTTTGAATTTAGAGACGTTCCACAAATTATTTTACAAATGTTGAGAAGAGAAGAAGACATGTCGAGAGATTCACTTTTAGGTCCCGGCATGATGGTATCCTATCCTATCCTCTTCCTTTTTTTTTTTCTCTCTCTTATCCAATAATAAACTTAAGGGTATTTATTATAAATTCCAGTTGGCATCCGTATCGAATTTTGGAAGTTTTGACGATTTGAAAACATCTCATTCATTGGGAGAATTAGGATTGTTCGATTTAAAATCCGTAGAAGTCATGGAAATAGACGATCGTGAATTATTAAAACCTTCCGAAAAAGTAAAATCAATTTTCTTTTTTTTTTAAATTAAAGTTTTAGAAAATTTAAAAAAAAAAAAAAACATTAATTAATTAACAAGCTTTTCAGGCTCTTAAATTTCTTAAAATGAATTGGGATGACGTGGAAAACACGGTTAAAAATCGACAACCTTTGAACAAAAACATTTTTAAAATTGATGATAATACGTGGAAAGACCTCGGGGCTAATGACACGAGTGTAAATAAACCGAAAACTGGAAGACCAGAAATATTTCTTAAAGATTTAACAAATTTAAATGCCTCGATTGAAAATTCATTACTGAGAGAAGAAAAAAAAAGGAAAACGTTAACTTTAAAATTTGGATTTTCCCTTTTTAGCTTTCTACGTGAAAAAGAAGAACTTAAAATAAAAGAAGAAGAACAATTATCTTACATATCTAATACGGATGATGACGAAGATGAAGAGGATGGTGAAGATTATAACATGGCGATGCCATTGTTCATGTCGAACATAAAAGAAGAAGTGCCCGTTAATAGAATACATTTGGATTTCGTTTCTAGAAAAATTAAAGGAAACACATACGCCAAACTTTATAAAGAAGATTACATGAGTGTTATCGGACCCGAAGTTTACGAGAGAGCAACGAAATTACCAAAATTAAATTCTCCTATTTATTCGAAATTACTCACGAAATCATCAACAAGTTTGCCAAACATCACAGACAAGAAAAAACTTTCGCAAACGATAAAAAATTCATTTGATTCCAACATGGAAAGTCATTCAATATTCGGTTCGATAAATTCAAATAAAATGAATAATGATAATTTAGTTAACGTGGCTTTAGATAAATCATCCAATTCGAAAATAAGGTAAATAAATTTATGCCAAAAAAAATAAAATAAAATAACTGGAAAAATGAATTTTTTGAAATCGGTTAATTCATAGATAAACCTAATAATATAAACCTCCTATAGATAAACCTAATAATATAAACCTCCTATAAATAAACTATAATTAAATCAACCTCCTTTTTCATTTTAACGAATTTTTTCTTTTTTTTCAGTTACGATTCGGATGAAAGACTATTGGAATCAAGCGTACCTGATGATTTATGTTCTTTTTATACGTAAAAATTTTTTTTTGTTTTTGTTTTACCACCAATTATTATTATTATTATTTATACAATTAAAAAAAATATTTTTTATTTAGACTTGAAGAAAAACCATCAGATCGACCCGAACCGCTGATTTTAGCCGAAGAATATTTGGTAAGTGACTTATAATAAAAATAATTAATTAATAACCTTATTTCTCTCTCCTCTCCCCTCCTCTCTCCCCGTTTCTATTCATTCATAAACTTTTATTCCGTTAGTACATATATTATTTATTTTGTTTACCTTTCGAAATATTTTTTTTTTTTTACTTTGTTTGTTCATAAATAAATGCGTGTTTACTTTACCGTACAAACAATGTCAGGCTCAATTCAGGCTCCCCATACGTGTGAAACAAAAACGGATTTTTTTAGTTCGTGATGTATTTAACGTATACCAATTAGGCATTTTATCGATTAATAAATTTTTGTCACGCATTGTAAACATACAATATTGATCCAATTTTTAATTTTTTTTTTGTCATGTAAATAATAATAATAATAATAATGATGTTTGACCGATGACAGACAAACGAAGAAAAATTAGAAATTATGAAAAATGAAAAAATAAACAAAAATCATTCGAATGTTTCAATAGATTTTGATTATAATTACGAGGATTGTCGCGATGATAATGATGATGAGAATGAGGGAAAAGTTAAACCGTGTTATAAAAAGAGAATAATTAAAATAAGGAGAATAGGGAAAACGAGTAATAATAATAATAATTCGGTTGAAAAGAATAACTCACCATTTCGACGACGAAATGATAATAATAATAATAAAAATAAAAAAGATGGTGGTCGTCCACCGAAAGGCGGTGATAAGAAATTTTATATAAATATAGATTACAAAAATTTATTATCGAAACGTGATAATAATAATCCGACGACCGAAAATAATTATGAAAAAAAAAAGGATTTAAATGTTCAAAATGAAAGTTTTCCAACGGAATCCCACCGACAGCAATTATTTATACAATTTTGGACTACGGCTCAGTATAATTACGATATGAATAAAATAACGAATCCCCCAAATTATGACGAAAATTTTCAAATTAAGAAAAAATCCTCGTCGGATTTTAATTTAAAAAAAAAATCAAATGATCCCCGTGAAAATCATTTAAAATTTGAGGATAAAATTTGGAAATCCAAAGTTTTAGAAACCGCAACGACGTTAGACGGAAATTTTCTAACGGATAATAATAGCAATAATAATGACGATGATGATGATGATGATAAATCTATGGATGGGTTCGAAATGAGAATATTAAAAAAATTAATAAGTGACGTCATGTTACATAAAAAATACGTCGAAATCAATAAAATGGAGTCGAAAAGAAATTTATTACAAGACATTTCAAGAGGCAGTGATGTCGAATATGAATCCCTGGAAGAGAAAAACGTTTTGGTAAATGGCGACGAAATTACGTCTAACGACGACGATGATAATAATAATAATAATAATAATAATAATAGTTACTGTTATTTTTTAAATAAAACGATAACTAATGATTTAGATTTAGGAGATGGCAATTGTAAAAATTTAATTGATTTTACCGATGACGATAAAAAAAATGTCAACGACGGTGATGAAATAATAATTCGAGATGTAGAAGAAAATAATCGTTTGGAAAAAATGGAAAATGATTTGGAAAATGATTTGGAAAGTTTTTACGACGAAGGAGACGAGGAAAAAACCAAAGGATGCCTACAAGAAATGATAAGTTCAGATGAATTTACAGATGCCGTAGAAGATGTTTTCATCGATAAAGAAGATGGTTTAAATAATACGACAGGAAGAGGAGGAGGAGGAGTTAAAAGAGTAGAATTTAGAAAAAATCCATCTTTGGATAATATATTGACGATAAAAGAAGAAGATAATTTAATTGAAAATCAAGGTTCGGACGAATCATTTTCTTTGTATTATTCGAAAGCAGCAGATTTAGCATCACCGCTGTTGGATATGAAAAGATTCATTTATCCCGATCACATTCACTACAGTTATAAACACGTTAAGAAAAAAGGTTTCGACGTCGACCTCAACGGAAGTCTTCCACTTTTGGTAAGGCAAAGTTTAACTATGAACGATCCAATAAACGTTAAAAAAATGTCACTCTCTCAAAAACCGGAAATGAAAATAACGAGAAAACCCATGGATTTATCATTTGCGGCGAGTACGGCATTTTCCGAATGGCAAAATCTCGAACAATACGATCCGAATGAAACGCATAATAAAAAAGAAGACGTTCAACATTCGAAATTTTTAAATAAAAAAAAAAATATTAATAACGGTGAAAATGAAGAATGGGAAAATGGAAAGAAAATATGTTCAAAACGAAATTCGCGTCACGACGACGACGACAACAACACGGCGAGGGATGAAAAATCACGGAAGGGTTTAGATTTAGAAAAGGGTAGAACGGAAAGTTATGAAAAATTTATGAAAAAATGTCCGAAAGGTGAAATGTGGATACACGAAAAACTTTATAAAACTTATAAGAAATTTAATAAAAATTATTGTCCGGATGTGAAAGTTAAAACGGATTCGAAACCTCCGACGCAAATAAGTTCGACACAATTGCATTCGAATAAGGGTAGAATAAATTCGACTTATAATCCCGCCATTTTTTTAAACGAAAATAAATCTCGCGTCGAACGTGATAAAAAAATCGAAACACCGAAAGAAAGAACGAAAGACATGTTTGCCAAATTAGAAAGGGAAATTTTATTTCAAAGTAAAAATTTTCAAAAGCATAAAAAAATTTACAAAGGTTCGTATCAGAAGAAGCTCAATTGACTCACTCGACGAGTTCCGCCGCCATTTTAAAAAACAAAAAAAATTACTCGTGAAGGAATTGACCGCCATTTTGTTTTTTTGTTTTTTTCTTTTGTTGTTTCCTCCGTCTTAAAATTCTTATAAAACTCAATAAATTTTCGTTTAAAAAAATTATTTTTATTATTAATTAACACTATTTCTTAGTTTATTCTTTTAAAAACCTTAATTATTACTTAATCGTACCTAAAAATAATTTTTCGTTGATGAAAACCTTACAAAAAAAAAACTTTTTTTCTTTTTCTATTTTTTTTTTCTTTCTTTTAATATTTTCTACGCAGTTAAAAAATGATTTATTACTTAAATAAAAATGCAAGGAATAAATTATGCTAAACGAGGAAAAAAATAAAAATAAAAACAAATCATAAAATTTTAAAAAACGTTGCAATTTTTTTTTGTTTTTCCCTCCAAAAGAAAAATCCACGCGTGTATTATTATTATCATTGCGATAAGGTAAACATTATAAACATTCGAAATACATTTTTTTTTTTTTTGTTTTCATTCTAATTATTTCAAGTTTATTTTTATAAAATAAAACTCTTTCTATCTCTTTAAAATAAATAACAAAATTATTATTATTTTTATTTTTATTATCATTATTTATTAAAAGTAATTAATTATAAAGAAGACACGATTTTGCCACGTAATAACTAATATGCGACGTGTACGTGTTGTTTTCATGTAAAAATTATCTTTTTTTTTTTTTTTTCATAAATACATAAGATTAAATATGATTTGATTTCGTGATTTTAAAGATTAAATATGTAAAAAAAAAAAAAAATCAGGCACAAAATTTTATTTTTTTCTTCGAATGGTCGTAGGTTCGATGAATAAGTTATTTAAAAAAAATTAATTTGTTTATAAAAAACTTTTAATTTTTAACAATAATATTTACCAATTAATTGTTAAATGTTGGTATTAATTCGGTTTATGACAATTTGTTTGATACATTCTCACGTTTTTTTTTTTCTTCTCTCTTCTTTTGTTCTGATGCACACACACATATATATATATATCTGTGGTAAATTTGAAAATTGTATCAATCACTCTTACAAACATTTTGAGAAATCAACAAAACAAAAACAAAAAAAAAAAGCAAAATGATCGGACGTCTTTTTGTCGTTTTGGCTGTTGCCCTTTTCTGCGCTGAAGCTTGCGTAAGTAAAAATTTTATTTTTTATTAATTTTCATTACTGCAGTGAAATTACTAATAATTTTTTTTTTTTTAAATTACAGCCAGTTTTGCCATTTGGAGTTGGTTGCGCTGGTATGCTCGGTCTTCCATCACCATGCCTTCCACCACCATGCCTTCCACCACCATGTCTTCCACCACCATGCCTTCCAGGATCTCCATTGGTTCCATCTTCCATGCTTCTTTCTTCTATGCTCGGAGCTTCTGGTGCTTGTTTGCCAGTTGGTGTACCACCATGCCTTTCTCCAGCCGTCCCATTTTTGCCACCAGCTTGCCTTGGATCCGTTTTGCCAGTTCCACTCGTCCCATCTGCTTGCGTTTGCAAATAAATAATTTAAAAAACCCAAAATAATTCAAGTAAATTTCCCCCCACACACACACTCTCTCTCTCTTTTCTTTTCTTTTCTTTTTTTTCGAATTACTTAACTTAAATCATTTTTTTACTTTCAGTGTATCACTTCTTACTGCTTTTCCCATCTAGTCCAACAGAAAATTATATAAATGTTTGCAGTACACCCTTATTTTTTATCAACATCTTACATAATATTAAGTTTAATTTTAACATAAATTAATTTAACAATTGTAAAAAAAAAAGTAAATGAAAAAACCAACAATAATTTATTTAAACAATTTAATTATATTAATAAATAAATAAATAATACATGTATACATAACTACAACCCAAAAAAAAAATTTTTGACTTATTTTTACTTACCTTTTAACAACCATTTTCTACCACAGCAGGTAACAAATTTTTTGCTGCTGTTGTAGAAAAAAAATATTATTAATTCATTCCAACGTTATTCTTTGTGTTTATCATTACCACTACCACCACCAGCAACACCAGCACCATCACCATCACCAACAACAACAGCAACAGTGACAGGTTTATTAAAATAAAAAAAAACTTATTTAATTTGTAACACACTTTATTAAAAATTTCACGACGACGAATCATTTAAAAAAAAAAAACTTTATGTATTTATATTATGTATATATATATATATTATTTTTATACAAACCTTATTAATTTATGTATTAAAAAAAAAAAAATTACAAAATGAAAGGGAAAAACATTTAACTAAAATTATTTAAACGTTTCTAACGTTTTTATTAACATTCTTCGGATTCTTATTATTTGTTGTAGCAGGAGTAACAGGATTTTTTTTTTTAAGTTCTTTATAATAAGTATAACCCATAAACCAAAAAAAGAATTGAAAAACTGTAATAAAAAAAATCAAAAATTTTTATTTTAGTAATATCAATCAATCAATCAATCAATCAAATCGATGATAGATCAATAAACGTACCTAAATAAAAAAATGAAACAGTGCATACGACCAATCCTAAACCGAATGAACCGTAAAAATAATAAAAAGTTGCACCGAAAATAAAAATTGTCGCTGATATTGTTAGTATTAAATAACCAATCACCCAAATCAATATGAATATTGGTATTTCCTATCAAAATAATAATAATAATAATAATAATAATAATAATAATAATAATAAACCCATAGTTTTTTTAAAATAATAATAAATTAAATTTTGACTTGCATTTAAAACTCCGATTAATAATAAAACGGTTAATGAAAACGTTAACGCCGTCAATACATTTTCTCCGAAAGTAACTGTAAATAATAATAATAATAATAATACTTATTTATATAATAAATTAATTAATTAATAAATAAATAAATAGTTTACAAATCGTTTTCGTTACGATTCCATCGATTTGTTTTTCGTATAACAATCCAGTTGTTATAATGAATAAAGTATACGTTACCCATGTAACGATAACAAGAGATATGACAGAAGTTCTTAACAAACACATTTATTATTATTATTATTATTATTATTATCAATACGATGCTAAAAGAAAATTATTTACGTAATGAAAGGACGCATATTTTTATTATTATTATTATTATTTTTTTTTTTTGTAAAGTAATAAAAAACTGAATTAATAGTAATAATAATTTTTTTTTTTAAATTTATTTTTCGTCGCGCGCATTATTTATTTATTTTTTTTATATTTATTTATTTATTAATTAATAATCTATAGAATTTTCGTCATCCATAACGTATAAATAAATAAATAAATAAATAAATAATGAATTTCAACGCACGTTCAAAACAAAATATTTACAAACTCAAACTTTTTTTTTTTTTTTTTAAATTTGGTATCACTGTCGAAAAATAATTTTCGTTTTAATATAATTTATTAAAAAACTTATTAACGTTATTAACTTAATCGTTTATCAAAACAAAATTATTATTATTAACAAAAAATTTAATAAAATTCTATATAAATTTTTTTTCTTATTCCTCATTATAAGAAAAATAATTAAAAAAAAAAAAAAAAAAAATTCGTTACTTTTGTTTTTTCTTCTTCGTAAATATAAAAATAATTTCGTCGGCTTTTTTTTTGTTGTCTATTTACTAAAAAAAAATATACACATATATATATATATATTTTATTATACATCTTAAAAGTTTTTTTTTTTTTTTTTATACACGCGACAAAAGGAATACAAAAAAAAAATATTTTTTCAATTTTTATTTATATATATATAATATTTTATTATTATTATTATTTATTTTTTGTTTTCATTGACTGTTAAAAAAAAAATTTTTTTGCTCGAAAGTATATGTAAATATTATTATTATTATTATTACTATAGATTTCCTTAAGTACATTTTTTTTTTTTTTTTTAGATAGAAAAGAAAATAAGTGAAAAAAAAAAAAGGGAAAAATGAAATCGGCATATGGATGTTGTTCTTTAAGAGTAGGATGTTACGTCGCGGCTGCCGTATTAGTAGTCGAAGTACTTTTTGGTTTCATCGTTGGTGGCATAAGCTACTACGGTAATTTCGATATCGAGCGTAATTTTTTTTATTATATATTCTTATTATTTATATACATATATATTTTAATTTAATAAATAAATTAATAAATAAATATTTATTTATTACTGTTTGCAGGAGTACCCTTTGCTATATTACAATTTGCCGTTATGGTAGCATTAATCGTTTTGATCGTACTCGGTGCCTATAAGGTAAGTTAATAACAAACTAAATAAATTTTTTTTTTTTTAATGTATATTTATTTATTTATTTATTTTTTCTTTTCTTTTTTTTTGTCAAAAGGAAAATCAACAATTAATGTTAGCATGGGTCATAGTTTTTTTAGTTTATTTAATTCTTTATGTTATTTTATCCGTTTTTTACATCTTGTATTCTTTTACCCGTGAAGAAAACGATTCGACGCTCATAGGAATTACATTGATAATATTATTTATCATTGGACTCGGTAAGTAAATCATTTTATTATTATTATTATTATTATTTTCCTTTATGTATTTCTTCATGTTTTTCTTTTTTCTTTTTTTTTTTTTCCAGCTATTTACATTTTATTATTTTTCATCGGATATTTTTATTATAAAGAATTAAAAGCGTAAATAAAAAAAAAAAAATAATTGATCGTCATCGGGGACTCCCCTTTTTTTTTTTTTTACTATATAAATAATACAAATAATATATGTAAATGAAATAAACGAATTAATAACTCGATAATCGCTTTTTTTTAAAAATATTATTAACAATACTAAACGTTAGAAATTATTAAAATTATTTTTCTGACTTTAATAAAATTTAACTTATCATAATAATAATAATTAATTAGTCTTATTAAAATAATTATAATTAGAAATTTTTATTGATCGTCTCCCAGAAAAAAAGGAAATTAATAAATTTTTTTATTTTTAATACTATTATTATTATTAGCAACAATTTTTATTCAAGCGTTAAAAATATAAGATTTGTTTTTTTTTTCTTTTTGAAAAACTCACCAAAGTAAATAATCATTTAATAATTTAATTATATATATATATATATTTAGATATAATAATGATATTTTTTAAGTACTAATTAAAAAAAAAAATTAGAAAAGTATAAGAAGAACTTATATACGATTCATAATAAAATTTACTTTTTGCTTTTTGGTCAACCGAGTATAAAAAAAAATACAAATAATTTTTGTTTTTATTATAAAATCCCCCCCCCCCAAAAAAAAAAAATTTTTTTTTTTTTCAAATCGAAACTTTCCGTGAATTTGATGATGTTGCTCGACAATTTTTTTTTTAAGAAATATTTTCTTTATTAAATAATCATATTATATATAATTTAAAATAATCATTATTAAAAAAAAAAAAAAATTACTTGTTTTTCTTTTCTTTTTCTTTTTTTTTTAAACTAACAAACTACTGTGGTATAAAAAGTAATAATAAAAATTTTTTTAAAATTATTTTTTATCAAAAAATGTAATAATAATAATAATAATAATAATAATAATAATATTTACGTCAGCATAATATTCACTGAACTTAGTAGTAGTAGTAGTAGTAGTAGTAGAAAATCATTTTTTTTATTTCTCTATAATTATAACAAATAATAAATGTTAAGTCAGAATGATAACGATTATACATATATATGTAAATATACGAGTGATAAGCATTTTCTATGATAAAAAAAAAATAAACTATACATCCGTTGAAAAATAATAATAATAATAATAAAAATTTAATCGAAGCTAATCAATTCTCCGGTGCTCCCCGAATGACTTTGTTCACCTCCGGGAGGAAGTTGTTGAAATTGTTGATGTGAACTTTGCGATCCGACTTGTGGTAAAACTGCAGGCTGATTATTTTGAATTTCTGGCATTTGACCTTGTTGTAATCCCATGTTCTGAGAAGGAATTGCATTTATTGGGTGTCCTGGCAAAACCCTGTGTTGACTCCCTTGGAGAGCTAAATTTGGAATCGTTACTCCGGCGGAAGGCATACTCATGTTTGCCCCGGGTCCCGTTGTTATCGGCAAACTCTGGGTCGCGTTTGGAGATAAATTCATTTTTAAAGGAGCACTTCCGGGCATCGCAGGATTTGGCATCACGTTGGAACCCATACCGACGTTAATAGGCCCGTTCGGAGGCATTATTAATGATTGCGTTTGAGAAATTAAAGAATTAGGACCCGAAGTTGGATTTTGAACAGGTAAGGGAATTCCTAGAAAAAAAAATTATTATTATTATTATTTAAACGTAAATTATTAACACTATTTTTTTCTTAATTACAGAGAGCCTCCTTATTAATTTACCGTTGAAATTGGGTTGCATTTGAAGTGGATGCATTTGAGGTAGCGGCACATTGACCATGGGCCTCGGCTGATTGGGTTGAATGCTTGGTATTCTACTTGGACCCATGGGAGATGAAACCGGCCCCCGAGGAGCTATTAATGAATGTGGACCTGAAGGCGGCATACTTGTAGGAGGTATGATACCTTGTGGCATCATTCCCGGTACGTGAGGTTGATGAGTGGCTTGCTGCGATTAAAAATAAAAATTTTAAAATTTTTCACTTTAAGATTATAATCGAGTTATTTCGATAAATTAATTTGTACAAACCGGCTGCGGAACATTTGATGAAGAAGGAGGAATTTGATAACCAGCCGCGGGATTACCAGCGGGTAAAGATTGATACTGTTGCCCGAATTGGTGAGTAGGTGATGGCATGGCAGGACCTTTGGAATCCCATCCTGGATATCCCTGAGGCATTCCCAAAGAACCCATTAAATAATGCTGTTTTTGCTGTTCTTGCCTCATTTGTAATTCTCTTTCTTGTTCTTGCATTTTCTGAATAGCTAATTGCCTTTGATACTAAAATTTAAAAAAGAAAGAATAAAAAAAAAAAGGTTAATTTTAGAAAAAAAAAAAACAAACGTAAAATTACAAATTTTTACCTGTAAATATTCTTGTTTTCTCCTCCTCATAATTTCTAATTTTTGAGCCATTTGCATTTGTTTTTGACGTTCGGCTTCTTCAGCTTCCCTCCTTAATTTTTCCCTGTGCTCATCCCTCAACGCATCTAAAGCCATCATAGCATCCTTAACTTGAGCCAACTTATCTTGAAGGCCCTCATAATAAACTAAATTAAAATTTAAAATTATAAAAACAATTTTAAGCAATGATACAAAACAAAAATTTTTAATTAAAAAATTGTTTTTTTTTTTTTTTTAGTGTTTTAAAAATATGTAACTCAACCTCTAGAATCGTCTTGTTGCCGAATGTATCTTAATAAAGTGGAATGGTTCATTGTAACATTCATAAATAATGTCTGAACAGAGGAATCATTAGAGATACTTCTGCCACGGCTAGAATTGGATTTCATTCTGTTGACAAATATTTCAACCTGGGATTTCAGGTAAGACACAAAATCATCCAATTCAGATTCAATTATTTCACCATTTTCCTACAAGTCAATTTTTAATATGAAGTAGAAAAAAAAAAAAAAATTAAATAATTCATCATTTTCAAACTTTAAATTTCTAACCAATTGATGGGTAGGAGTAGTAGGTGCACTAGGAGGACCACCAGGACTTGATCGAATATGAATGGGACTAGATTCCTTTTTAACAGCCTTTTCCTCTGCTTGACGTTTCTCCCAATAAGAACGATTTAAATACCTTGCAAGTTCTGGATCTTCATCTTCTTCTTCTTCTTTCTGAAAAATAAATATACAATAAATAAAAATAATACAAAAATTTCTAATAAACGAACTTAATGAGAGCAAACTTAATAAAAATTTAATAAATATTATATATATAAAAAATAATATTTACAATGATTGTAGGTGATTTTTTTGAAGTTGTATTGTTAAATATTTCATTTGTGATCATTGCCTTCTTTTCTTTTTCTTTTTCCTTGGCTTCGGCTTCTGATTGAGACAATGCAAGTGCTAATTGAAATTCTTCCTCTTCTTTCAATTCATCATCGGTTTTTTTCGGTTTTGAAGGTTGCGTTTTGAGAGCTGATGAATTAGGTTGAAAATCTGAATGAAATGGTTCATTATCTAATTTTACTTGTGGTGCAGAACTAGGTCTAAAAAGAGAAAATAGTTTATATTTTTTTTTTTTTTTTATAAGAATGTGTTAAGGTTTTCTCTTAACTACAATAAACTTACTTGCTATACTTTTCATAACATGCTTTGCATACTCTCACTTCCTTTTCAATTCCAAATTTTGGTAAAGTAGTAGTGTTTGAAGAGCAATCTGAACAAAAAACATTTCCACAAGCTCTACAGTGATGCTAGATAATAATGAAAAAGTATAAATTTAGTTTACTTTTAGACTTGAATAAATTTAAAATAAAAAATCCTAATTTAAAAATTTTGTTTTACCTTCCTATTCATAACACCAAAAGCGACACGACAACGATTACATTCTGATGCATCTACCCATTCAGGAGCAGTATGTGCCACAAACATTGCATCACTTTCTTTTAAAGGGGGAAATTTATATCCCTCAGTTTTCATTATGTTTACCATTTCCTATAATAATATTGTTGTTATTAATAATTATTTATTCTTTTTAAACATATAAATATGTTAAATTTATCATTATTTAAACAGAATTTGCAATGGTTGAAATTTTAAAATAAAAATACCTGTACTGCTCGATATTTTAAATTTGATCGAAAGGCAAATGCCCATGCCTGAATCAATTCTACCACCTTGGCTTTTACTTGATCATGGGTTGTAGTTTTTACTAACTCTTGCAGCTGCTCCATAAAAGCTTTTGTAGCAATTTCATCATGAACAAGATGGCCACAATTTTTTACAACTGATTCCAAAACCAATAATGCAAATGTAGCAACATGTGGATTATGATTTACTATTTTTTTTTTTATATTATTTAATGCTACTTTCACTCTAAAAAAAAACAAAAAAATGAATTACGACAAATCAATCGGTCACTAAATTAAGAAGTCTTCCCTGTGAATGATTTTTTTCTTTACACAACATTGTGCAATCAAATTTTAAAAAAATTAATCTTTAATTTTATTTAATAAAAAAATCTTTAACAAAGGTTTAGGTAAAAGTTTCAAAAATAAATTTTACCACAAAGAATTTCATATTAATTTAATATGAATAACGTGTAATACATTGTCAATTGAAAACAACAAATAAGAAAAACCAGCTTTGGTGGTACTTAAAGAGTGTAAATTACTGTATAAATTTACTCTTGACGAATAATAAAAACTTACGGTACATCCCCTTGTCTGATAAGATCGCATATTTGCAGAATGGTGGGCCAGTCAGGTTCTAGTAGTAAATTAGAGGTAGCTTTGTCTGTGGAATAACCATAATAATAATTAATATATTAACACAAAATTGCAAATACAAAAAATATAGTATAGTTTTATACCTAAAAGCCTATCAAAATTTGATGTTTTAAACATTATTTAAATAATATAAAATAAGTATAGACCCAATATTTAAATATATGATAAATTTTTAATATCAGCTGAGGATGACAAACGAGTGACGTCACCGGCACCTATGTTGCCATTTAAGTAATTTTTTAATAATTTTAATAGTAAATGTTAAAAAAATTATTTTTTATTCTAAAATTAAAGTTTTGTTCATATGATTTTAAACTCAATACCATTAAAATAACTCAAGATTAGTTTATGATAATTATAATTCTAAAAAAAATGTTTTTTGTAAATTTTTGCTGTTGACAATTCAGTAAAGCTTTAATTAAATAAACTATTATCGAATCAATAAATGTTTTGTTAATTATAGAAAATTGTAAAAAGCTAAAATATTTAATATTTAACAAAAAAAAAAATTGTAATTAAAAAAAAAATAATAAAAGCTTTATATACTGAAAGTTTTGAAACTAAGGTTTGGCAACATTGCATCTAGACGTCTGGGGTTTTAATATTAATTTAAGTACCAACGCTCAAGTAATTTACATTTTATGATATGTTAGAATGTCTATCAATAGTAATTCAGGAAATTATACCAGATTAAGAAGAAAAAATTCTAAAATTGTTACTATTTCTGCTGAAAAAGAGAGAAATCTATCTATTAAAAAGGTTTGTTAAGTATAATTTTTTTTTGGTAATGTCATTTTTTAATTTGTGCAAGTAAACAGAATTAATTTTTTGTTATAAAATCAAATTATTTATTCAAAAAATTTTTACAAATATAATGTAAAAAACAATATTGAAGTAGAATACCGTCTTTTATTTTATTCTCATTCATTAAAAACAGTCTTAAATTTGTAAAAATTGCAATTAATTTTTCTAATTTAAATTTTTCAATTAAATTTTTTACAGTAAACCTTAGTAAATATGTTAAATTTGTTGAAGGTGTTACATTTATTATTACATTATTTCAGGCAATATATTTTTTTTAAAAAAATTTGACACTTGTCTAAAATTATGTTATTGAATTAAATTAGTTTCTATTGAACATTTTTCAATGACTTGAGTATATTTTTATTAGTGTTATTTACTTATGTATTACTTTATTTCAGGTATCGATCATCCTTCAAAAAGATGAATCAAAAAGAACTAAAGAGGAAAAAGAATTACTTTTTAATTACTCTGAAATAGTGAGAGAAGCATCAATTAGAATAGAAAACAGAAAAAAAATTAAGGAGAGATTAAAAGAAATTGAAGACACTGAAGTAGTTTTAGATGATAAGTGTAAAAAATTAGCTGAAGCCATATCAAAATCAGAATATCTGGTTGTTTATACTGGAGCAGGAATCTCGACAGCTGCAAGAATTCCAGATTACAGAGGAGCTTCTGGAATTTGGACGCTATTACAGCAGGGAAAAGATATAGGGTATTTTTATTTTATTATTATAACATAAATAAAATAATAACAATACTAATTTTCTTTTAAAATTTTTTTTTTAATTAGTACTCATGATCTCACTCAAGCTGATCCTACATATACTCATATGGCATTGTTTCAATTATATTCACAAGGAAAATTAAAACATATTGTATCTCAAAACTGTGATGGTCTACATTTAAGAAGTGGTCTTCCAAAAAAAGCTTTATCTGAAGTTCATGGCAATATGTATATAGAGGTATAAGATCCATTTCACTTTGATGTATTTTTTTTGGTTAATAAATTTTTTAAAATTTTTTAAATGAATTTTTTAGGTTTGTAGGTCTTGTCGTCCCATAATGGAATATTTAAGAAATTTCGACGTAACTGAAAACACAGCTCGCTACAGTCATAAAACAATGAGAAAATGTTACAAGTGCAATTCATCTCTTGTCGATTCTATAGTACATTTCGGTGAAAGGGGAAACTTACCATGGCCCTTAAATTGGAAAGGGGCTTGTAAGGCTGCAGAAAAGGCTGACATGATTCTTTGCATAGGTTCAAGTCTAAAGGTAAGTTTAATTTTAATTTATTTGTGTTTTTTCGCAGCTTCTGACTGATTTTTAAAAAAAATATATTTTTTGATATCAGGTTTTGAAAAGATATCCTTGGTTGTGGTGCATGGACAAACCGGCAAAACGACGCCCCAGCATTTACATAGTAAATTTACAGTGGACTCCTAAAGATTGCCAAGCCATTATTAAAATAAATGGAAAATGTGATATTGTTATGGAAAAACTAATGAAACACTTGGCAATAACTGTTCCTAAATATTCTAGAAATTCAGATCCCATTATAGAGCATGCAACTGACTTGTGCAAAGAAGAGCAACACACAGCGAATAGACCATTTCTTACCAATATAAAAACAGAGTCTATTGATTTTAAAGAAATCAAAGTGGAAAAGTGTGTCAATGAAGGGAATAATGAAATTTTCGATTGTAGTGCAATAAGTGAAGAAAATATAAAAAAAGAAAAAATTGAATCTTGTGTTACGTCGTGTAAAAAAGAAGTACTCATAGATACTGGACAAGGAGAAAATGTCAATTACATAAAAAAAGAACTTATCGTTATAACAATTAAATCAGGAGATGATTTTAAGGACTGCTGCCCATTGTTTAAAGATAATCAAAATCATGACTGTGATTGTCCTAATTTTATCGACGAACAAAATGATATTCCCGTCATTATAGAAAATGATGATGCTCTAGTTTTAAATAATTCAGAGGACTCATTAGTTAAAAAAAATAAATTAAAAACTTGCAATGTATCTGTGACAAATCCAGGAAAAGAAAAAATTAAAAATAATTCCGTCCCAAATAATAATAATAAAATTGGTAAAAAGAATATTTATATTTTATACATTTTTTTTTTGTTACATCAGCACTTTAATACTGCTAAGCAAACAAGAAAAGTATTCTAATTTTCGTTATTTGCTTCTTTTTTTTTTTGTAGGTGATTCAAATGACGTGCCAATGTTATTATCAAATAACGATAGCGATCTCAAAAATGGTAACAAGCATTTAAAAAGAATGAGGGATTTGGATGAAGCGGAAAACGATAATAAAAAAACAAAATTAAACAATTTGCCTCGGGGTGAAAAGAGGAGTCAAAGTGAAATTTTTTCGGATAATTTAAAAAATACTCAGTCGGTAAAAGATGCTCAAAAAAATGAGACTAAAAATAGCAATAAAGAGAAAAAAAATAAAACGGAGCCGCCGGATAAAAAATTGGATTTGAAAGAAAGTCTCAAATGCGAATTTTGTTCGGAACGTTTCTTATCAAAATCTTGTTTGTTTTACACAAAAAGAAAACCGTTTTTTAAAGATGACGTACCCGCGTGCGATTGTTGTTCCAGCGGTGAAGAAGAATTGGACGGGGAAGATTTCGACGAGAAAACAAACAACGATTTGCAAAAAGTATCCGTTAATCCCGGTTGGTACGGTAAAGGTATCCGGAAAAACGTGAGAAAAAAACGGTAGCCCAAATAATTAGTCGACTCAAGTATTGTTTTTGTTGGTTTTTTCCACCCCCACCCTTCACCCCCCTTCTCTTCGTATTTAGGGTTTTTATTTTTTTTCTCCCTTCGTCGTTATAATTTAATTGTGATTATTGTTGTGTATTTTGTATAAGTGAATTATTATTATTATTATTATTATTATTATTGAAAAATAATAAATAAATAAATAAATAATATAAATGAAAAAATAAAATATTAATTATTAAAATTTTTCCAGATAAAAAAAGTATTTGATAAGTTAAATGATAATAATAATTATTATTATTTTTATAAATATTGTCAAGGTAAATAATTTAATTAATTTTTACCTGAGTTTCCCTACCACTCACCCTCCATACCACCATACTCTCCCACGCCCTAACCCCGTAACTACCCTTAACAAACTCATCCCTTAGGAACTTGGCGTCCCTTCATCACCATGGAATCTAAATAATCAATATCAACTGTATATTTGAGTCAAATAAAATTATATAAAGAAAGGTTTTTCTATTACAGATTAAATATGTCAACTAGTCTTTTAATAAAAAAAAAACCAATTGAGAAAGAGCGTCGGCAATTTAAGAAAATAATACAAAATATAATATTTTCAATGGGGAAATATATTTTTATTAGAAAAAAAAAAAGAAAAAAATGAAATATCGAAAAGGAAGATGGGGTTTTCAACGTTTTGGGAATCAATGACGAAAACCTTCTTAAATTTTGAACTATATTTGATTGTAGGTTAAACTGTAAGAACCGTTTTTACGTATTCGAAAAAAAAAAAGGTTTAATAAAATGTATTAATTTAAAATAATAATAATAATAATTTATATCGGTTTCGAAATTTAATTTATTTAATTATTTATATATTTTATAAGTGACATTATCATTAATATTTTAATAATAATAATAATATTTGTTTGATATATTACAATACAAGTGTACCAATAAAAAAAAGGGAAAAATAATTTCTAATTGATTAGTTAGTATTATTATTTTTATTAGTAAAGTGAATAATTATTATTATTATTATTATTGTGATTGATCTGTGATTATATTTAATTATTTGAAATTTATATATATATAAAAAAGAAAAGCGGATATTTAAATTTAAAAAGAAAAACATTTTGTGATATGTAAGGTAAGAAATAAATTATTATTATTATTATTAACACAGTTTTGGACTGAGTTAATTTATTTGTATTTAAATAAAAATTAAATTATTTATAGAAATGATTATTATTATTATTATTATTATTAATTAAATAAGCCGGGTAATTAATTGATTTTTTCTTTAAATGGATGGATTCTTTTACTTTTTGTAAAGGTTTAATAATAATAATAATAATAAGTCATTTTGTTTAATTTTTATAGTTGTTACAAATTATGGTTAAATTTTTGTAATAATAATAATAATAAAATCATGAATATTATTATTATTATTTAAAAAAATGTGTCAATAGTATGTAAAATATCTAATGTGGGGGCTTGGGGGGAGGGGAAAGGAGGGAAAATATAAAAATCAATTAATTATTTTCTTTTTTGAAACATGTAGAAAAAGAAAAACATTATTAATTTTTATAAATTATTTTAAATAATATTTTAAATGTTGTACATATTTTTATTACTTTTTTTTTTTTTGAATGAATGAACTTAATTGCAGTTTTTTTTTTTTTTTATTAATTTGATTCTTATTTAAGTAAAATAAGAGTAAATTTTATGGAAATTTTTTTTGTTGATGATGATGATGATAATCACTAGAGTATTTAACATTAAAATTAAATTTAAAATACTTATAATTTTTTTTAAAAGAAAGTCATTAATTAATTTGTTTTTTTTTTTAAAAACTTGACGTTTTCATCATTAAATTTAAAAAAAAAAAAATTTTAATTTTTTTAATTTGTTGTAATCAAGGAAATCAAAATTTTTCATAATGATGATTATGGTTTTGAAAAAAAAAATCTTTAAGTGAATAGTTAATTATTATACTTTTCCTTAACAAAATAATATTTTATCGGGAAAAGGATTTTTCCAAGAAGGTTTATTTATTTTAATTCCAAGGAGGTAAATAAAATTACATTTTATTATTTTGTTATAAGCTCTTTTTTTTTTTAAAAAGTGAGTCAATTAAGGAAAATTTACGTTATGAGTAAGGATTAATATTTATCACTGTTAACTTCTGCACTCTATCGTTTAAAATAAAAACTAAAAAATTTATAATATTGGCAACACTGTACGGGTGACATGTATCAGAGACGCGTCGTATTTCAACAACTACAGCTGGTTGTTGTTCTACTAAAGTAAAAAAAAAATGTGTAAAATATTTAATTTAAAGTGAAATTTTTTTTTATTTCTTAACAAATAACTTTATATAATAATTAATTTTATTTTAGTGTGAATCGTTAATTAATTTTAAAATTATTTCGGTATAATTAAATGTAGAAAATTTGAGATTTTTACATTAGTTACAAAGTGAATATGAATGTTTTGGTTGTAAAGTTGGCCCTGAATTAACGTAATACTTGTCATGTGCATATAAAAAAATTTTTTTTCATGTAAACGAATTTTTTTTACTTATTACATATAGAAAATAATTAGAATCTTGCCAAATTATAATTAATTTAGATTTAAAAAAAATTTTTTTTATACATTGTGTTAAAATCTTAAATAATTTTTTTTTTAAAACATGAAACCTGAGGACTTTGATGTTGTGGTAAATGGTAAATAGGATCCGTTTTATAAAATGGCGGAATGTTAGTGTATTTTTTTTTTTTTTTTTGTATGCACATGAAAAGAAAATAATAATTATTCGTTTGAGAAGATAATATAATAGAATAATCATGAGAAAAATAAGCGGTAAGTTTTTTAAAAACATTAATTTTTTTTCTTTTTTTCAAATTTTTAAAAAAAAAAAAAAGGGTGAATAGTTTTACCGCCAATAATAATAATAATGTTTTTGATTTTGTCAAAAAGTAAATTTTTTTTTAAAAATAATATTTCAGACATATATTTTATAATTTATTTATCGTTTAATACTTTTGAGATGTTATCTTATATAATTAGTATTTAAATAGCTTTTTATTCGAATGACATCACTGGTTATTTTTCCTATGTTGCATAAAAAATTTACAACTTTTAAATTATGGTAATTACTATTATTATTATTATTATAATTAATGAAAAACTTATCATAAAAAATTAATTTTTTTTTTTTTTTTCATTAATTAAAGGGAAAAAGCAGTAAAAAAAATTTAAAATTAACCATGCATATATTTTTAAATTGCTTTTTTTATATTAATTATTTTATATTATTAATAATAATCAAACTGGTTTTTTTCCAAAAAAAAAAAAAACGAAGAAGAAGAAGAACTAGTCACAATTTTATAACTTTTTTTTATCAATGCCATAAAAAAAAAAAAAAAATTTTTTTAGGTTTTTGATAGGTTTTAGAAAGGCTTTAAAATATCATATGATATTTTTTTTTTGCCATCATAAAATAATGATGATGTTAATTTTTTTTTTTTTTTTTCGTTTATCACAGGATTATTTTCATTTGTTAAACGATATTTTATAAATTAATTTTTTTGTTTTTTTTTTTTGAAATTTCTAACTTGAAAAGGTTGCAATTTGTGTTTTCGAATATAATTTAAAAAAAAAAAAAAAAATTTAAATCATATTCAAAAAAAATTCATATTATTATGAAATTTCAGCAATAATTTCATATTGCGAATAAAAAAAAAAAAAAGCGATAAATTATTATTTAACATTAAAATATTTTATTTATGTTATCACATAAATAAAATAATATTTACAATGACCTAAAATGCTTATTTAAATGTCAAATCAATGTTTTCTTTTTTTTTTTTTTTTTAACACTTTGTAAGAAAAAACCTTGAACTTGCCCTCTTTTGATTGTATCGACTAAATTTAATATTAATATTATTACTATAGCCTTTTTATATTTGTCCCCTAACTTTTTAACTTTTTTTAATAATTTTTTTATCATTTTTGTTGTTATTATTATTATTATTATTATTATTACGAAGCGTTCAACATTGTATTTATTTAGTATATAAAACTAAATTTTATTAGTTTATTGATATCAAAAAATCAACAATGTTTATATAATAATAATAATAACTTTTTTATACATTATGATTGATGATGTGTAACTAAGGATTTTTTTTTTCTTTTTTTTTTTTTTTAACTCTAAAAGTTGACGATCGGATAAGAATTTTCATTTACTCTTTTTTTTTTTTTTTAAATATATATATATATATATATATATATATATATATATTTATAAATCAAAATTTGAAAATCATAAATCGAAATAAAAGGATAATTATTAACCAAAAAGTTTCAATATTAGTAAATTTGAAAAAGACTAAAACGACGTTATATATTTGCAGGGTTGCCAACAGATGCAATTAAATTTTGTCGTTTTGTCAAATCGTAACGTTGCCGGTATATTCTTATTTATAACGATTAGTTTTTTTTTCTCCCCCATAAGTTAAACATTGTTTTAGGAGGAAAATAAAAAACGTTTATCGTTTTTTAATTTATTTCCCTCCATTATTAAAAAACTTTGTTAAGAAATTGCGGTATATTTGTTTGATTTTTTTTTTTTTTTTAAAAAAAAGATATAATATTTTAATTTCCTTACTGTTTTTTTTTTTTTTTTTTAATAATTGTAATAAAAATAAGGCAAAAAAAAAGAAATTAAATTTTCTCGGATTTAAATTAACTGTTTACGTAATTAATTAAAAAAAAAAATGGCGACGTAATCGTTTGTTACATTTGAATCGGATAAGAAAAGAAAAAAGGAAAAAAAAACAAGAATATAATATAAAAATTAATTACAGGAACTTGATAAAAAAAAAAAGAAGAAAATTGCGTAAAATGTTTTGAAACACGTTAAATTTTTAATATTTAAAAATTAATAATAATAATAATAATAATTATATTCCAAGGTTTTAAGTT